TTCGAGACCTCGTTTACTCACCAAAATGTACCAATTTGAAGATAATCGTTGTGGACGAGGGACGGGCTTGGCGCTCTGCCGACTGGAATCCCGTGAATGTCGTGGCCGTACATAACGAACGTGACTGGGGGCGTTCGGATCACAAGGGGTGGCCAAGATCGTCATGGCCACGAGAGCTACAGGCGTGGAGGATCACAGTTGACTGGCTTGATCGAGCTACCTGTTGTCCAGAACACGTGAGGGATATTCTGCGCCATGTCGACCTTGTTGAGTGCACCTCCTTGGTATAGCATGGCTTCAAAGGCATACGACCCGGTAAAGCTCCCCACACCGAAGGAGCAGGTACACATCCCCGCCGTGAGGCCACGGATATCGGGGAACCATTTCTGGGTCGCAGTCATGGTCGACACGAAGAGAATTCCAAACCCCCCGCCGCAGAACCCGCCATACCTGTGCCAAATCGTCAGCGTGCCATGCCTGTGTAGGGATACCCCATTGTGAGCAACACAAAGACGTTGTGCCAAGACGAACCCAACCGCCAGCATGATTGCAGAGACGGCCATGCCAATGCGGGGACCTCGACGCTCCATGAACGGTCCACACACAGCGGCAAAGACCCCCATCCAAACGTACGCTTGGTACAACACAGTGGCAGACGAGTCGGTCTTGGCGCTGTAGAAATACACGTCAAGGGCATCTTGCAACGTCGAGAAAGCCAAAAGCGTGCCAGCGCCAAATCAGGCCATGCATGCCGTGATCAGGAGGTGCCGCCGGCTAAACTTGGCGCATTGTCCTGGTACGACCAAGTCCAAACCGGTGGGAACGACGAACAGGTAGCGCTCAGCCTCGAGCTCGTCCGCCGACTTGGGCGCGACGGTCGCCGTCCAGTACTCTGCAATCCACGCGAACCGAATTTGAAAAAGTCCCACCGATCTCGAGTGTCAACTTCATCGTCGTTGATGTCGTCCCAATCGACCAATCAGGATGCTCGCGTGGTCGAACCAACGAATTGGATTGGCTATTGAAACAGCACAGCGTATTTAGAGGTTTGCCTTTTCCACCAATCAAATGAAAAATATGAGGTCTGTGAGCATTTTGATTCGTTGAAATACCTGATTGTTTGAGCCAATCAAAGTGATCGATCTTTTGACCCGTGTTGGATCCAGTGTGATGCCTCTGATTGGCCAGTCCCATTTGTTACAACTCACAACACCACAACGCGAGCGCAGCACCGCGACTCGACCGAAGTCGCGCACGCAGGCCAGCATATGCGCCGACGCAATCTCGCAGGCCGTTGCCGCATGGGTAGCTTCGGCTCTGTCGCGCCTGCTCACGCCGGCATGTTTCCAGTTTTTCGAGGCCTGCAACCACGGTTGTTGGGTGGACTGCGCTGGCTACACAAAATTCGTGGCGCTTCACGGTGGTTCAGTCCATTCGTCATCGCTTGCGACTGTGTGGGTTCAAGGCTGAGTAAAAAACCAGCGGACGGTGCGGCTGGCGTTAGCTACCACCTCTGCGATCCGACGAGTGCGTTTACTGGCATGACAACATACATCTGAAAAATCGGATGCTCCGTTCTTGGTGGGATCAAATCCAACGTTTGTGGCGGCAGGAGAGACCATGATCTGCATGAAGTGCGGGCGAAAGACTCATACTTGGGATGCACCTGCCATGGGATCGATGAATGTCGCACAATTACGTTTGCTAGCGTGCCGCCGTCACAAACCACTGACGAGTTGGTTCTTGTCAAGCGATGCATCTTGGCGTCGAGAAACTATCGGTGCATCGCGGTTCTCAATGTGCTCGCCTGTCGCACGACCAACCTGTCTCGGTCGAAGAAGTAGAAATATGTTCATCCCGACACAACGGAAGCGCACAATGACTTGGTCCTTTCTTGGGTCGCTCTTGTGACGTGGCTCGCTTCCTCGGCACTGGTAAGGTCGCAGGTATTTCTCTACATCGGAATTGCTTCACGCGCGTATCTTGAGTTTCGGATGTCGCTGGCGGCGCCCTGTGGACGTTGTTTTGTTGCCGTCCCCAACGAATCATGCGGGAGTCCAATGAAGACATCGTAGGAGCAAACCAAGCCACCAAAGCCATGCCACTGCTCGGCGCGATGCTTCATACGAGTGTACAGACGCCTGTTGTTGGCGCGGTCGCCTAGACTCGAGCATAGCTCGACTTTATCGGTGGAATCCACCAAGGTGGTAAAGTCGCACTACTTACTCGTCTGTCGAGGGGGAGGCAGGGCATCGGTCACGCGAGGTGTCGCCAGGAGAAGCGACTCATACAACTTGTCGCGTTGTGCTTTCAAGGAGTCCCCGACACCATTCGACTCGGGACCATTCAATCGTTCAGAGCATGGACGTTCACGTTCCAGCCGGTTCCCCGCACACGATGCACGGTCAAGATTCGGGGAGTTGCAGATGGCGCATCGCGGCCCTCGTTTAGGGGTCTGCTGTGCCTCCCAGTCTGCTCATGGATGGGCAATCGTTCAAGGATCCCGCTAGGAGGTGCCATGTGGCTCCTTGACTCGACTTTTGATCTTCGGTTTGCTCAAAAATCCTGACCATCTCCCCCCTTCTATGCTTGGCAAAGGGAGGGGGAGAGATTCATGCAGTGCCCGGGATGTTTTCGAGGGCGATTTGATGTTTTCCCCGAGGCACTCGTCGTTCTAGTCCCATCGCAACAACCACTTCATCTTTTTCCAATCGGAATGGAGAAAACCTAAAATTAGGTTGCCACTCGTCCGAGCAAAGCGGCGACTCATGCACCGCGTGAGCGACCACTTGGAGGATCGATACCCGTATCGCAGCGGGTTTCGCGAAGAAAACAATGAGAACGACGTGTCTCGGGCGTATGGGAGCCAGGACATCGCTCGGTACTGCCGCCTGCTCTCGCTCAAGGAAGAGCTAACGGACGAGGACCGCGTGAAAGCGCTGACCGGCCTTGTCGACCTGTTGGCGAACCAAGAAAACAAAACCAAGGCCGTCGCGGCGGGAGTTGTCGCTTCCATGAGTCGCCTCATGACTGTGTCGAACCACGACATTCGCTTGGGCGCAGCTACTGTCGTCGCAGGTACCTGCACCAGTCCGACCCAGCGCCTCACGTGCTAGTGTTGTAGCAATTGCATGGGATGCCGACGGCCTCGTTGCGATGGACAAAGATCCGACCCTCATGTTCAACCTGAACTCGCTGTTGTTTGACGCAAACCCTGCATGCATCGAAATGGCGACCCAAGTGCTGGTGCGGATGTCCTTTGTGCGTGATGGCATGGCTGACGTGCACAGGTGAACTTGACGACAAATCGCGAAGGGATTCCAATTGTCCTCGCGCGAAGTTACATCCGGGAGAAGCTCGTGGCGATGGCGACGGGGGCCGATACAACCCTCACGACGGCCACCATTGTTCACTTGTACCAGATCTTTGCGCAGCTCACCAAGTCCCAACTCGGCGCGCAAGCGTGTGCTGAAGTGCACGTCGTTCCAGCGCTGATCCGCATTTTGCACAATCCGCTCTTGTTTCCTGCCAAGTTGCTGCGCCACGTTGTGCAAACCGTGTGGAACCTGGCCACGCATGTAGGCACAAAAACGCAGTAATGTGTGGCTCACGTTGCTGTAGAACGAAGGGAAAGTCGAGGCCATCTCGTTGAACGTCGTGGAGCTGTTGATCAAAGTGCTCACGGGGGCACAGAAGCACGTGTTCTCGAGTCTCGGTCGGGACGCCGAGCTCGACTTGATTCGCATCACGTCGGGGGCACTCATGGCGCTCGCGACGGCCGAAGTGGCCAAGCCCAAACTTCTCGCGACCGGCATCGATCCGTTGGTTGCGTGCCTCTTTGTGAGCGCGTCCAGGCAGAACGCAATACAGGCGTTGAATTACATGTGCGAAGAACGGTCGGGGCTGCTGTCTGTCGTGACTCTGCTGCTGGACCACCCGGCATCCCTTCTCGTCGAAGTTTTCGGAGTTCGCGCAATGCCGGCGCTCAACACGTTGCTGGAGCAGGAACTCAAGCCGACGCCTATCGTCCTCCAGGCCATCGCGGACGTATGCACCGAGGAGGGCGGCGTGGACCAGATCACGCAGTGCCTCCACATGCTCGACAACTTGACCAAACTGTGCGAAGTCAACACAGACATCCCCCGTGTCCCCGAGCTCGCGACGGGAATTCTCAAGGCCGTTGCCGAGGTACGAAATAAATGTGATCATGATGTCCATATTCACGTGACTTGAAACGATGGTCTTTGCCTGCAGCATGACGATAAAGCGCGTGGGCGGGTCGAGCGCGCTCTCGAGCGCAACAAGGTTGCCCCCGCCTTTGTCAAATCGATCTTGTAACAAGCGCCGAGGTCGCACGTAAGAATCAAAGTACTCGGTACGACAAGCAACTCCACTGCCACATCGATTCATCGAGAGGTGGTTGAGCGAGGGGCGTCGATGGGTTACAAGAGAATGGAGAGCTCGACATGAAAGTCCCGACACGAGAGAGAGAGTTAGAGGCAGTGGGGGCATTTGTACGTGCCCGATAGGTTTCGAAACGTCGGGGACAGGTACAAGCATCTGCGAGAGGGGTCGGATGAGAGGAAGGCATGGAGATGCGGTGGCAGTGGAGGTCGGTCGTACTTGAGGTGATATCGCTTATCGCAAACCGCACATTGCACAGTCGTTGCCACGTCCTTCCATGCTTCTTTGCATTCAAAGCACGCCGTGGCCGATCGGTATCGTTCCTTTAGCGGTGTCGATTCTTGGTCCGCTACGTATCGCAGTCACAAGCGGTCCACTTAAGAACATGAACAACTTACGGAGCGGGATCGATTGCAGGGGAGATCGCGGCACAGTGTACTCGCGGCGGATTCGATTCATGTCGATGGTACTGAGCTCCTTCTGCAATGTCTTTTCAAACGTCGCAAGCGATGCCAGTGGATACAAATGAGCTTCGTCGTCGCAGTTGTGCCTGCAACATTTTTCACGTCATGGAGGTAATGGTGAACAGGCCAGATCGTACTGAATAAGTCGAAGACACAGCGCTTGGAGCTTTCGAATCAAGCTGGTCAAATACGCGTCCTTGGCCGTTTGCTGCACGAGCTGAATCGCTTGGTATAAAAAGTTCACGCTCGTGGCGTACAAGTAGCGCTCCATGGTCGTCGTTTGCGACGTTTCGTACAGAAGTCGATCGTCCAGAGCGCGATGGATTGCTGCCCCCAAGTCCTGGTGGGCGTAATGGTCGGGCAGGGCCACCGTCGACGCCTTGTCTTCGCTCAGACGATCGTCAAAATATAGAAAAATCACACGGAGGTAGTGTCGGGCGAGCGAATTGGACAACCGGGAGATGTGGCTGAGCACGACTTGCGACGAGGTGTCCATGACGGTGCGGAAATAGCGGGCAGCGGCGCGATATGTGGGTGATGGGGCGGAGGCGCCAGCTTTCTCCAACGCGGAGAGAATATGGTGCACTTGAGTCTGTGTGAGCTTGGACAGCCTTCGCACGAGGCGTTCGCAGTTGTGCAGAATCGTTTCGACTCGCTGGGTCGTTCCTTCAGAGAGGACCATGAGTATGGTGAAGTTGGAAATCGAATACACGAGGGGGAATTACCGCGTTCAGACACATATTGAAGCTCCACGACGGACAAGTCGTAGCACTGAAAAGCGACCTTTCTTGGTTCATGGGAAACCCGCGAGTCGTGGAGACACAGTTGCTCGCATTCGACCAGCAAGACAAACAGACTGGATTGCCACGTATACACATCGGCATCGAGTCCAGCGTCCCAACATTGCGCGAAAACGTGCCCAGTGATGGTGCCGGTTGTGAGCAGCTCTTCCTTGAACTGGGATATCGACACCATGTTTGCGCTTGTTGAGTCGTTCTCGACAGAAAGTGAAGATTCTGGGGCGACAACTATAGGTAGGGCGGTCGGCAGTGCCGTGGACGACAGCGTCGGGGCTTCTGCTTCAGGTGGGGCGTCCACATTCCCAATACAGTCAACTAGATTTGACTCTGCAACGGGTTGATTCATTGTTGGCGGGGCATCCCTGCAGTGTTCAGCCAAGAATCCATCCTCCTTGTTAGCGATGGACTCTGTACCGGAAAGCGGTTTTGAATGGAAGTAGTCTTCCGTCGGCAATTGAGGCGTCTCCGTGGACTGCTCAGTGGAGGGTATAAGTTGTAACACGTCTTCGTGATCCACCTTTTGTTGCGTTTTGAAGGCTACGGGGAGTGATGCGGACGAGGACGTTTGTGGAGTTGATGGTTGCGCAAACTTTTTTGTTGTCGAAATCTGAATTCCAAGTTGTGTCGACGATGTCGTTGCGCCGGCCGTTTTGACGAGTGGTTGAGTGGCGACGCGATGACTAGCCAGGCGTGTGGTTGTGCTTGTTTGCTGCGGTTGAGTTAATCTTGGAGTAGTTGCAACAGGTCGGTGGGCAGTGGGTGCGGAAGAACCAATCGGCCTTCTTCGCAGGACTGGCTTGGCTTGAGGAATGATCTCGGCAGATTTGGTCACGGTTCTGACTGGCTTCCTCATACGAACACATCGGGTTAACCCAGGCGTTGAGGGTGGGATGATGGCGGAAGCGGCGATGGAAATTTTGGGTACAGCACCAGGCACGTCACATGGCGTTGTGGAAACCACTGGGCTTGCAGAGAGGGGTGCCATCGTGAGCTTGGATTGAACAAAGCGCCTTGGGACCGCTGGCTTTTCGTCAGTTGAAAGTGGCAGAGTCGTTAATGTGCTGGAGGTGTTGATGGTGGTCGATTGCCGGTGCAAAATCCTTCGTCTAGCGCGGACTGCAGATTGTGCAGGAGGGACACGTCTGGATGTGCCAACGGAGGCAGCACGTGGTCTCAAACGTGCAGGAACGGCCGTAGGAAGAGAATTGCCTTTGATCATCGCACTTGTTGCAGATTTAGCCTCGAGTGGTGCCGATGGCTTAGTTGATTTATCCACGGAGACGTCATTGGAAAGTTGGTTGGCTATTGATGCTGGAGATGGTTGTTGGGGTGAGACTGGAGCAAGGGGACGTCGGGAGCTTAGAGTTGTAAGTTGGGGTGTTTCTCTTCTTGATAGAAGGGTAGCGTTCGAGTCAGCTGGCATCGAAAGGAGCGTACGTGGTGTTGTGTGCGAGGTTCGAGAAACAACTTTTGTTGACACGGCATGTGCGCTGCGAAACATCTTCGTCGATATGTACGTCTCCGTACATATCGACTGTGGATTTGGCACCCCTACGATTTCGAAAGGAGACGCAGCTGCTAGCATTGGCGGTGGTCCTTGGATGGCGGTGGAGTTGTTGGCTGATATCGTTGAATTCTTTGCAGATGACGGGAGTGCCTTCACCGTTGAATGCGGTGCGCGATATCCTCGATCACACAGCGCAGAAGGCGTGGCTGGTTTCAATGCTGAAGGCCGCAGTTCCGGTCGTCGTTGCTTTGACGGGGTGGCAAAAGACATTGAGGTGTCCTCCAAGGGTCGCTTTGATGGGGTGAATCTTCCCGTGGGGATCCAAGGAGAAGGTTTGTTCTTCTCGGGATTCTTGAGCTTTAGCGGCGTCGATGCGAACTCGGCCAACACGTCGACCATTCTTCCGTCGTTAGTCGGCCGTCGCGCTCAATTGCCGCAATCACGTTTGAGTTTTTGAATTTTTCTAGTTCTTCAATCGTATGTCCAATAATCCGGATAATATGGCCTTATCCGTGAGTTGCGTGGTGGTTCTGCTTGAAGGTCAGCGACGGCGGCGGCGACGCCAGTCGGACGCGCGAACTCAGCTCAATGGGCATTAAATATCTCATGTATTCAACAAGACTATTAGTCTACCTTTTGTTTCTTCGAAGGACTGCTCCACTGGATGGCCGAGAACATGCTCTTCACTTGCTTCTTGGACAGTCTACTCCCGGCAGGACTCGCAATAATGCCAGTCTCTTCGCGGTCTTGCAGGGGAATCAATGGTGGCGGGGATAGTGCAGGTCCTTCATCCTCTGGTGTCGCAACTTTGCTGGTGTCGGACAGTACGTCGTCGTCGACCTCGTCCACCACCACGACCATCGTCTGCTCGTCGTGCGCCCAGTACCGTTCTTCCTCCTGAATCGTGAGTCCATTGTGGAGTTCGGGTTGTCCGTCCGACAGTTTTGCTTTGATAGAAGCCACAACCCCCGAGTATGCCGCTTCCAGGAGTGTGATCTTGGCATGGTTCACAATGTGTTCCATGATCATGCGGCAGTTGTGCGCCTCGGCGGCCATGATCATGTCGAGCAAAGCCGATACGACCGCGGACGGGTTCTTCGTACGCACTTGGAGCAAGTCGAGGATGGCGTCCCAGATTGCCGGCGTCGCGACCATGTTGCTGTAGAAAGTTTCGTTGCGCAAGACACACCCTTTGAGGAATGCCGCAACGTGCAGAATGCGGAGCTTGTTGCCGCTCAAGAGCGCGTCCGTCGCATACTGGGCCATCGGGAGCTTTGCCAGCAAGTACTTGATGCGGTAGCCGTGGTGCGATACGCACATCGTAAGGACCTCCCACACGGAGGCGTGCAGCTCGTACAGGTGGCCGGTCTGGTCGGGGAGGCCGAGGAGGTGGAGCCACCACTGCATGTAGTTGCCATGATACAACATGTGCAGGAATTTGTCATCGCGGCCAGGAACGACGTGGAAGAGGTGCTTTAGGATGTCCAAGACGCCGCCGCGCGCGGCCTCGGTTTGGACGAATGCGACGAGAATCGCAAGGAGGAGCGATTGGTTTGGTTCCCACGTGAGGGAGAAGGGGAGGGAGAGGTCGCAGTTGCGTTCGTCGGCCATGTAGACGCGGAGGAGATCTCCATTTTGGAACAGCACGAGATGATGGAGCATTTCCAAAACCAAGAGACGATTGGCGTCGTTGGGCCGCGTCAAGATTGAGGCGAAGGTCGGGAGGAGCGTCGTGGGGAAGAGTGCATGGTGGAGTGATCCAAACACAGGGTTCATGCCCGAGTAGTCAGCTTTGAGCATGTGGGGAACACGAGGTACACCTGACGACGCGTGAGATAGAGATTGAACAGTGGAAGGAGCTCACCTCGGGATGGCGGTTGGGTGACCTGAATCAGTCGCATGACATTTTGGAGAAGCAAGAGACCAGTGGATTCTGTCGCAGGGTCTGCCACGAGGGATCGTAGCTTCACCATGTAGTCTTCGTGGTTGGATATATACGTGAGAATCGAAATGTTGTTCTCGTTCACGATGGACTCGAGCCAAATCGTGCAACCGTCCGCGAGCGTGCGGGACAAGATGTTGTCCTTGATCGCGTCAATACGGTAGTTTAAATGTATGGCCTGCACGACTTGTGGTTCCGTGATTGGGATAACCTGCTCTTACTTCTCAGCATGTGGCAAGGCATGGATGGCGTTTTAGAGGTGGAATGCTCATACCTCGTTGAACGTCATGTGCGCCGACAGATCCTTACGAAAACACATCTTTCGGATCGTGTGGGGGTTGCATTCCAAGATGCCGACGACGTCGAGAAAGAACGCGTCCGACAAGAGAAGTTGCAGCACGGTCGAGTCGCAGAGTTCAACTACCTCACGTCCCATGAGTTTTCATGATTCACGACGCGTGCACTTACTCAAAGACTTTGTGATCTGGAAGAGAATTTCCATGCTTTCGTCATCATCAAGGTCGAGGCATTGATCGGCGACACGAAGAAGCTCCTTGAGGAACTGGGCATCGTGTTCGACGATACACTTGACACGGGCAGCTCGTTTCGTCGGTGGGAGGAAGGGTGTCATCAACGCCTTTCGGATCTCCACTAATGTGTGCATCGCAGGGAGCGGCAGTACGTGGGTGCCGTCGGTGGTGGCAAGAGGAATGTCCATGTCCTTGTGCACGGTGGTGGTTTCCGTGGAGCCCCTCTCCATCGTCTCGAATTACACACCTGACCTCGGAATATTTTTTTAAAAATTTTTCGTCGATTCTTCAGCCAAGTGTCGCGGTTGTCCAATTTTGACCAATCAAAACAGCAAACTTCGAAATCCACCAATCAGGTCGTCGTCTAATGAATAATGTTCCGCATCGGAATGACGCGAGACACGCAGGGACAAGCCACGTTCGACCCTGCAGCCGCCATCGTTCCGACCAGGATATCTAGATGGACCCAACCCCGAACGCGTCCTCGAGCTGGACACACGCAATGGTGCATATGCACCCTTGAAAGGAATGGGGCCTCGTCTTGCCTGACTTGTGACACGATTCTCGCGACGCTGGACTCCGCCCCCCCACGATCTCTCCGACCTGCGTTGAGTCATGATTTGCCAAATTCTCGCCCACCAGTCTGATCAAGCTAACGTGTCTCCATTACGATGTCCATATGACACGGACATGTCCATCGCATCATAGAGCATGCCTACACAAAACGAGACCCCATGATCTTGACCCCCTCCATAAAGGAATGGCCCGGACGTTCTCGGACTTGCCGCCATTTTTCTTGACCAAATCAGCAAATGTGGTTGGCACTGAATTATATAAATATTGAAGGCTTGAAACTTTCATAATATCAAGTAGTGAAGGTTATTTATTCATGGAATACAATCTTGAAACGACGCTGCGATGCTCCAATGGAGCCAGGATCGGCGCCGCGGCCATGAACAGCGACTGGTATGTGCATGAAGTGCACATGAGAGTTAATTCATGACGTGCGCAGAGGCACGGAGCTTCCTACCACGAGGGACGCCACCGCCAAGTTGCCGAGTCGTACAACGTGAGTCCATTGGTTATTGTTTTGGTGACTGCTAACATATGCAGCCACAACAGAATCGCTTCTATGAACGTGAAGACACCGATAGAAGTCCTGGTACTTCGTCCAAACGACATCCTAAACGCGGTGTCGTCTCGGATCTCGCTTCGTTTCACGAAGAAGAGTACGTCAACTTCTTGAAGGTCCGTCGGGACATGCGTGCATCGCAGCCGCATGATCGAGGTATGGTTGCACAAGTTTCCACGTTTGACATTCAGCCAGGCAAATGGAAATGCATGGGAACAGAATTTGTGGACGGGGCCGAGCATGCTTCTTCCCTGCACATTGCGGCGCATCCAGGTCCACATCTCTCCTTCACCTCATCAGCCTTCTTGACCATACACTGCAGATGCTAAGTTTGCGATCGAGCGGCAGTTTTGGGCGTGGTGTGGTCGGGAAGTGACTTTGGAAAAGCTGGTCGTTGACTCTCCCGCCCCACCGTCATTTGACGGCATTTCGCTTGACGACGACATGCATCCAGTCAATATGAGTCCCGACCCGACTGAGCTGCCGCCATCGCTCTCCAAGGACGCTGCGTCAGGCGAGAAGCCGCCTGCATTTCCACCAAATTCCATTCCAGAGGAAACGTCGCCGGGCAAACCAACCATTTCCGCCCCATCGTCACAGCCGCTTGACCCTCCAGCGACAACGCCCGCCGCCGAGACATGAACGCACTTGGCTCTGTATTCCATCTCAACCATCCATGCGCATCTTGCAAGCCGAATACAAACACCCAAGGTACAGCCACTCTCGAAAGGTTGCTTTTACTTTGAGCGTTCTACCATGTCTTCCGCAATGAGTCGGAAGATAACCGCTCGGATGGAATCCTCATCCGCAACATGTCGCTCGAGCATGTTGGCGATCGACGTTTCGCCAGCCGAGTACAGATGCAGCAGCACGGGGGCACACTCTAGGGGGAAAGTGATGCCGTTTGCGATGGGAGGCAGGTCTGCGTCGTCGTCATCGCTCTCGTCGTCTTCTTCATTTTCATCACACGTGCATCGGCCCATGTGGTGCTTCCGGCAATTATTCACGGCGTGGAAGAGCGTGACCGTGTCATCTTGAAGGACAATGCGGCAGAAACGTTTATGACGCAAGTGGAGGCTTAACGTGTCCTTGAGGTGGCACTTTCGAATGGCGCTGTGGGCAGGCGGCAACCGGTGTTTGACAAAATCCAGCGCGGCAACGTCCGCGGCCGCGTGGAGATCAGTTTCGTTCACGTGCTCAATCATTTTGGTCTAAAACACGACCATGTGAGGGACGAAATTGCGCAGACCGTACCGCCAATTCGTGGAAATGCTTGGTGAAGGCTGCTGCATTCGCAGTCGATGGCTTGAACTGGGATCCCATGAACCCGAGGTAATTTGGCGGAAGGCCTGTGTCATGGATGAGGCATGCTCGCACGCCTAATTCCTTCACCTTTGCGGAATTCCACGTCCTTTTCGAACGCGCGCCGCAGAACCTGCGGCAGCGCGACTTCCATAAAGTTGGCCCACGAGTTGTGATGATAAATGGAGATCGTGACATGGGTAGAGAACGAGCCCGAGGTTGACCTGAATACACCGCAACGTCATGAGTTCGGTCATCTGGAACGAGCAGCGTACGCTTGGTGGACAACACCACGGGGAAAGTACAGCATGTCGCCTTCCTCCAGCGTCAGTTCCATGATCGGGTCTTTCAGCATCGATGGATCCAAATCGTTGCTATGCTCGCCAGCCAGTTCAACCAGCGGTTCGTAGAGCTTCCAGTGCTTCGAGCCTTCCGTTTGCAAGATGAATACGTCGACATCGTCATGATGCGGCGCTAACTACACCAAAGTTAGTCGCACTTGCACACGCTTGATGGCGTTACCGCTTGAGCGTGAGGAGGCGTCAGGTAAGCGCTCGCCCCTGCTAGGCACCCGTAGTGGGCCTCCAATGCAGCGTTGATGTTGCAGATGTTCTTCTGATATCGCTGAGGCTGGTAGAATTGGACGCTGTATCCAGAAGTCATGAGCTTGTCCACTTGCTCAGACGTGGCGACGCCGTCATGGTCATCGTCTTCTGGAGGCTCGAAGTTCTGCCGCACGCCGTCCTTGTACACGGTGACGGTGAGGTCGTCGTTGTGGCGGAGAGACTCGTTTGCAATGATATTCAACAGAGAACTTCGGGAAAACAGACCGGAGCACGGGTAGATGTCCTTGATGTGCAGAGGTTTCTTTTCAAAATACTCGCTGTCGAAAGTCTCCATCGACATCCCCTGGAGCAGAGCGCTCAATGGAGAATTGGTCACATTGGCATTCTTATGCTTCTTTGCAGTTTCTTCTTGCTTCGGCGGCTCGTCAACCAAGCTCCGCTTTTCACGCGCCGTTGTGGCCTTGGTAGCTTGCTTCGTTCGAGCCATTTGTCGAAGGCCAATCCCTCAACGCCATCAATTAACTTGAC